GCCTATCAAGACATTAAAAAATAATGTCTTAGCATAGAAATGAGGACTGATGGCTACAAGGCACAGATGATAGGATAATGTGCATGTGGGGTGTCTTGAATACTAACTCTTAAAAAGGGCATGAGAAGCCGGGCATCATGGCTTAAAACTTTGTGAGGCCGAGGCAGGTGGATCACTTGACGTTAAGAGTTCAAGACCAGACTGGCCAACATGGTGAAAACCCATGTCTACTAAAAAATAGGAAAATTAGCTGGACATGGTGATGCATGCCTATATACCTAGCTACTTGGGAGGCTGAGGCAGGAGAATCATTTGAACCCAGAAGGGGGAGGTTGCTGGTGAGGTAAGATCATGACACTGCCCTCCAGCCAGGGTGACAGAGCAAGATGCCATCTAAAACAAACAAACAAAAAAATTGACATGAGAGTATAAGCCTACATATTCACTCAGTTCTTCTTATGGTCCTCTGCATGCAATATGCTGCTCTCAACTCTACGTCCTTAATTCTGCATGCATGCATCCCCCTATGCATTTCCTTAAATCTTACCTATCATTCAGACTGTACCTTGGAAAGCTCTGTCTACTCTAGCTCACAGTTCTCTTTTTAGGACGTGAATTAGTGACCATTCCCACTCACAGTCATTGTCATCTCCTCTTAACATCCACCAAGTGCTTACTTTGTAACAAGCATTGGATTAAATGTCTACAGAAAATATCTAATTTAATCCTCATGATAATTCTACAAATTGAGCAGCATTTTAATCTTCACTTTACAGGTGAAGACCTAGAGAAATTTCAGTTGCCCACAGTGACAGAGCCTGCAAGTGGCAAAGAAGGAATTGGAGCCCAAGTCTCAATGATTCGTGAGTTCAGGATAAAATAGTACTGCCCATAGGTTCCTTGTAACTATTTCATTTATATCAGTTTGTTCTCCTTCCCCCAGGTCACTGTAGTTTCCCCAGAGAAACCAGTTAGTGGAGTGAGCTGATCATTGAATAGGAGTCAATGTGATGGTGACTGTTCTCTTACAGACTAATTCTCTGCACACCTCTGCCTCCTTCTGTGTGCCAGGTGGCTGGCCTCTGTGAATTGTGTCATCCAGACTCCTTTGACCTCTGTCTTCCTTCTGGTTGCATTTGGCTAACAGGAGTCAGGAGAAAGGAGGAGAGAGAAGCCAGAGTATTTCTTCCCTACTTCAGCTCTGCTTTGGGACTATTTGGCAACAATGGTCTCTCTCTCTTTACTACTCAAAATTTGAGCAAGTATTCTCCCTCCATCGTTTCAGTTCTCAATTGTCTCTAGCATTTTATTTCTTTCTCTTGTTCCTTGGCCCTGGGGGTGGTAGTGGCTTCCCACTGTTGCTAGCTCCCAGGTGCCTCATTCTCCTGGTTTGTTCCTATTTCCTACACTGTTGTTATTAATCACCTCTGCATTTGGAGCATCTGGGTTCATTCTGACTCCCGCCAGGAGACTACCTGATATACATAGCATAACTGGTTTATACACCTAGCTCTGTACTAACCAGCCCAGGTTCCTCTTGTAGCTCCAGGCATATAAACCCGATTCATATAAAACAAGAGCATTTTCACTTGGATGCCACATGAATATTTCAAACTCAACATTTCCAAACCTGAAGATACATGTTTCCACAAAGTCTGTGTTTTACCCTATATTTGCTATGCTGGTGGCTGATTTATTTCAGTTAGAAACCTGTAAAGTATTCTAACCTCCTCTTATTCCTTCATTTTCTAGTAGTCAATGCCACCAAGTTCCTTAGTCTACATCCTTGCTACAGTCCAAATCTACCTCTTCCTTTCTCTTTCCCCGATGCCACTGCTTCTGTTTAGACTCCCATTGCCTATCATTTGGACAATTACATTGCAATAGCTTCTTAATTGGTTTCTTCAACTCCAGTCTTACACATCAACGCTGCTGCCAGAGTGAGCTTTATTTTTAAGTTAAAAAGCAAATAGATGTGTATATTGGAAATTCAAATAATGTATTTATAAAGTTAAAAGTCCTTTCTCTTAACCTCAAAGCCATTCCGTGGTGGTAACTACTAAATTTATTTTAGATACGATCATTTTTCTGTGTGTATAAATCATATATGCATACCAACACCACTAGCTTTACTTATAAAATATGCAGTCTAGCAATTTAGAATACTATAGATGAGTTATCACCTTAAAACTAAAATCTAATATTATCTCTCCTATTTCTTAAAACTCTACTGTAGGATTCTATCATTTTAGGATGTAGTCCCGGTGCTTTTATGTGATAGCTCCAAACCCTCTGTGATGAAGCCCTTGTCAAATTCTCTGGTCTCATCTCTTCCTACATTCTATTTCATCCTATGGTCCAGCCATGTGGAAGTTCTGTCTGCTTCCTAAAAACACCTGACTGTTTCATGTCCTCTTTGCCTCTCTGCATACTTCTCTATTTATGCTAATTTGAGAATGTGTGTTTCTTCACCTAGTAGATTTTATGCCTCTCAAGGAAAAAACCATTGCTAGGAGGCTAGTTAATAATTTCTGACTTTTGAGACCTCTGGAAAATATAGAGCCTCTCTGATGATCAGTTTCAATTTTATTGCCACCATCTCCTTACTTTTTAGCTTTGAGTCCTAACCTAGTTAGTGGTTGTAAGCTAGGGAATCTTTATATTTGGAAAGTTGCATCCCTGAATGTCGTGTGCCACCTTCTCAATGTTTTCACTGCTATAGATTTGGTTTAAAATATCTACCTATTACAGGTTTTAGATGGTTATTTTCTATAACATAGATGCCAGAAAATAAATAGAACTTATTAGAATATTATACTTATCACTTAAAAATTCTGATATAAAATAGGTTTTTAGACTTAGAAATGTTGCTATTGATCTCTAGTGTATCTTGAAAATAAATATGTAGCATAGCTAACCAAAAAAGAAAAGATACAAATTAAGAAAAAGAAAAGAAACAAGTTAAAGTCATTGGTATTTACACCATAAATATTTTAAACTCAGGTGGCAAAAAGAAGAATGGACACATTTAAACGGTTTCCCTTAAAATAGTCTTGGGAAAATATCCTAGGAGAATATGTACATTTCTGCCTTCTTTTAAAAATTAACGTACAGATTAGGAATACCTATGTAGATAATCAATTTAGTCTGAATTCTGCTTCTTTTTTTTTTTTTACTTCTAAGTTTTTTAAAATTTTTTAGTTTAATTTAAAGTTCTGGAATACATTTGCACAATGTGCAGGGATTTGTTACATATGTAAATGTGTGCCATAGTGGTTTGCTGCACCTATCAACCCATCACTTAGGTGTTAAGCCCCACATGCTTTAGCTATTTGTCCTGATGCCTCCCTCCCTCCACCCTCTTGACTGGCCCAGTGTGTGTTGTTTCCCTCCCCATGTCCATGTGTTCTTATTGTTTAACTTCCGCTTGTAAGTGAAAACATGTGGCGTTTGGTTTTCTGTTCCCATGTTAGTTTGCTGAGGATAATGGCTTCTAGCTCCATCCATGTCCCTGCAAAGGACTTGCCCTTGTTCCTTTTTATGGCTGCATAGTGTTCCATGGTGTATATGTACCCCATTTTCTTTATACGGTCTGTCATTGATGGATATTCAGGTTGATTCCATGTCTTTGCCATTGTGAATAGAGCTGCAATGAGCATACATATGCCTGTATCTTTATAATAGAATGATTTATATTCCCAGTAATGGGATTGCTGAATCAAATGGTATTTCTGGTTCTAAGTCTTTGAGGAATTACCACACTGTCTTCCATAATGGTTGAACTAATTTACTGAATCCTGGTTCTTAAATTGGAAGTATAAATTATCTGGAGGGGCAACTTGGCATAACTGTGAAGCATTCATCACATACTAATGTGGGAGTACATAGTAAAGTCATTAAGAAGGTGTTTTAAATTATTTTATTTACATTTATAAAATGTAAAATTTATAATATAAATTTACAAGGAAATGTATCTGATTTAGTTCTAAAAGCATGAAATATTTGAGAGTAATAATTTAACACAGGCTTGTGGTAGTCCATGTCAATATTTGGAGCTGAATTCTCCAAGTGAACACTGACGAAGAGATATTTGTAGGAATTCTCACTCTCTAGGATTTTCTGTTTGTGAAAAAGAACAGTCAAAATGTCACCTGTAAATATTTTAGGCAAAATTATTAGAAATAATTTAGAGAGCATACAATCCACTTTCTAGAATGTTTTGTAGCAATAATACTCCAAAATCCATCTTACCAAGTGAGATTTCCCTTAAAGTGAAAGGTACTGTTTGGATCTCGGTGCACTCATGATATGTTTCTCTTGTCTGATTGTTTCTTTGTGTGGTTGCAGTTGGTGAGACCATGCTTTTGAGCTGTCCAGTCTTGATAGAGGCAGAGACTTTCTCCTGGGCTCACCATGAGAATCATATTGGGAGTGAAAATAGCCCTGAAGTATAAGCTTGTGAGAACTGTAATGAGTTTGCTCAGATCCTTGAAGAATTTTTTTTCCCTTCTTTCATTGTTCACAGTTGTAAGTCCTTATTGTGCTAAGGGATACAGGGGTTATAAGATGATGAATATAAAAAGATACTGGCTAGGTAGCAGTTAAACTTTAAGAATAAGTAGAATCTAATCTCAGAGGCATAAGGGAAGTCTTCCAGGCAATAGAAACTGCATGAGCAGTGGCAAAATGGTAGTAGAGAATTGCCTGGTGAATTTGTCACTATTACCTGTGAAAGAACAAAGAAGACAATGATAACAAAGCTGAAGAGACTTGGATGCTTGTTCTACCATACGATGTACTATGTCATTCTATTTCCCTGGGCCTAACTATGTGGGTGAACTGTATGGATATGACTGTGGTTATGGTTTGGACATGGTTTGTTTTGCACCAAGTCTCATGTTATAATTTGATTCCCAGTGTGGGAGGTGGGGTTTAGTGGGAGATGTTTGGATTGTGGGGACAGATCTGTCATAAATGACTTGGTATCATTCTTATGGGAGTAAGTGGGTTCTCATTCTTAGTTCCTGTGAGAACTGGTTGTTGAAAAAGAGCCTGGTACCACCTCCTCTCTCCCTTGATGCTTTTCTCACCATGTGATCTTTGCACTCATTGACTTCTCTTTCTCCCTCTACCATGAATTGAGACAGTCTGAAGCCCTCACCAGCAGATACTCGTGCCATGCATCTTGTATAGTCTGAAAAACTGTGAGCCAAATAAACCTCTTTTCTTTGTAAATTGCCAGGTTCATGTATTCCTTTATACCAACACAAACAGACTAATACAGTATATGTATTATATATACACATGAGGATTTGGAATTAAGGAGTTAAACCACTCCATATCTGAAGCTTTTTCCAGCTCTTACTTCTAGGAACCATGTTACTTGAACTAAGATCTGTTGGGAATCCTATAGAATTAATGGTGACTATGATGACAATTCCTGTAGATAGTTAATGTTTCTGCCTAGATAGAGGAGTGGCACCTGTGATCTTGGGTGCAAAAGTATGTAGGCGGCCTTTACACTTCCATTTTCAAAGGAACAGACTTAGTCTTTTTTGCTATGCAGGGGTAGTAACTTCATGTTTGGTGGGTTTTGATGTCCATGTGCTGGAGGCTGGAGGAACTTCTGTGTGTGATACCATTCTATGTGAACTTTGAAGTTAGGAAGGATAAGATGAAGAAAGGGAATCCTGGAAGTCCTAGATTATTTTATCTGGGTTTGGCCTCCATTGCTTTTTATACGATGAACATATAATATTGAGAGCCAAATGAAATTAAGTTAAAGAAGCCTCTGAAGTAGTGCTCTTAAATTCCATCCATGACCCTATCTGGTGCAAAACTTTAATCAATGTCTTGGAAATTTGTACAGAAAGTATGTTTATTATAATTTAACTGTAGAAAAGGTGGGAAAGATAGATGACATACATGTTCACTTATTACTTAATGTTCATCCCACATTACTTAGACCATTTGCTATTAGCTGGCTATCTAACTGCTCCCAGCCAATAGACTATAGGCAGCACACTTATGAAATGGTGTGAGATGCTCTAGTTCTATTATGCTGTTGCAGTGATTGTGAAGGGCTCATATTTTACAGCTACAAAGTATTGAAGCCAAACTCAGCCTCGACCTCTGAGTGACTATGTAGAGGAGAGCCCTTTGTTGGCCTTGTTGAGTAAGCAGTATGAGCAAGACATGAACTTTGTTGTTTTAAGTCACTGAGATTTCATGGTTATATAGCTGCCATAGCCTAGACTATCCTAACGAATACACACAGGTAAAGAATATATGTTGCAAATAAATCCTTAAAGACCAGAGTACTTGGAAAACCCGGTAATCAGGCTGAAAGTAGTTGAGGATGGTCAAGGAATAACTTGATGGCAGTTCATGTGAAAAGTTACGAGGGAGCAGGATGGCTAAAGAAGATAAATTACATCATGTCTGCAGTCTTCAAAAATTTGAGAAATATTGTAAGAGAAGTCATCTTGTTCTAGGTTCCTCTAGAAGGCAGAAGCAAGACCAACATAGAAAAATTCTGAGAGATATATAGACTCCATTTAACAATGAAAATATTATCAATATAAGCTATTTATCAGTGGATAGAGATGTCTTAATGGTGAGTTTAGGAATAGTCAAAATAGTCACACTGAGGCCAGATGTCTAAGAATCAGGGATGCTATATAACCAAATTCTTCAGTATGTAAAATTTTTGTCTATAAAATAAATTATGTTAAGAATTTATTCTTAACATGATATTATTATATCATGTTATATATATAATATCATAATATTGTTATATTATGACCATAATATCAGTACACATATTTTGAAATGTGACATGTTTTATTTACTGAGAGGGGCACTTGGCTTATAACAATTCATCTACAATTTCATGCATCTTTTTGTGTTGTGGTTTGAACACTGCCTCCTACCACAAAACAAAAGTGTATCAGGGATGATTTGGCTCAACTAAATTAGATAGGATATAAAAACTAGACCAGTGGTTCCCAAGTTTGGTCCAAAGATGGTGATGGCTGGTGCATAAACATCATCTGAGGATTTTAATACAAATACCAATTGATAGGCTTTGTCCCCGGAAAAGTTTAATTTGTAGGTTGGGTTTGGGGTCTGGAAATATGCACTTAAATAAGTTCTGCAGGTTATGCTGGTGGACAGTCTGGCTTGGGAGCTAGTGTTCTACCTGTTTCTCTGCTTTTGTGGGTGTTTCATTCTTTTAGGTTCATTTTCATCTTCATTTCACAGAAAAGGTTGTCTTTTAAAACTCCAAATCTATCTTAACTGAATAAGAAGGAAGGGGGATTTCTGTACATGATGGTCAGTGGGGCTATGAGAGATGGTAGCAGAAGCAACCATCCTGGCTCCAGAATTTGCTTTGAGAGAGAGTCACAGAGGATGAGAGTCAGAATCTGCTTGGCCATCAGGGGCCTCCCCTCTTGTCCTCCTCAGCATTGATATAGGCAAGGAATCCCCTTGGCTGCAGCCAGAGCGATATTGTAAGCCATCTAGTCTAGCATCTTTTTCTAGCAAAAATTTCAAGTAATCAATTCAAAGTGATCACAGTGAGGCAGTGAGCCTGGATTGCACTTTCAGGGTATCATCATCAGGGGTACCGCAACTGTCTTGTAATTTTTTGGCTCTGGTGGCATGTGTCTATGACTGAGTTCAGAGCTGCTCAAGGCAGCATTTCTGGGAGTGAGCATCTGAGGAGGGCCTAGCAAATTTTCCTTTCAGGGGAGATGGTAATCAGACACCCAGGGCCATGCAGAGAACTCTTGGCAGAGTGAATACTGGCTCTTAATCGGATCCTCAGGCTCCTTTCTACATCTTGCCCTCTCTGCAGACATTAGCTGGGTGTGAGGGCTAAGGCTTTTCATGACAAAGTCTTTTCCCTGGATGGTAATTATTTTTTAACAGGTTGAAGTAACTACATAGTCATTTGCGTCTGGGGATAAGTGCCCTGGCCTGTTTTCAGTGCATTTCTCTCTTTTCTATAATTGTCACACTTTTTAATGAGGCTTGAAACACTCAGTTTCCTGATCTGTGTCTCAAAGACCCTGGTGTTCAGTGTCTGTCAAGACAGTTTGAACCTCCTAAGAATGAAGGGTAGAATTCTGGTGACCATTCCCTACCCCCAAATATTCTGTGGCTGAGTGTTAACACTGCTATTATATTTCCCTTCGGCTAAGACTGTCTCCATTGAATTCTCGTTGTAGCCTGGAGTCAGTTCCAAAGTTTTAGGAAGGTAATTCAAAGCCCTCTAGTAAATTTTAAATTTAAAATTTTAAAAGTTATATACCTAGGATTCGTTCAGCAACCTAGAAATTGGATTGTAAGTTGAAAATCAGTTACAGAAATACCTTACTTATTCGCATCCAAAAGTCTGAACATTTAGAGAACTTCCATGTTCTTTCCCTGAGTGCTTTCTTTCGCCCTATCTGACACTTTTGTGTACTTTCAGTGCCTAGTACAAATCTTTGTGCATTGACAGGCCTTAGATGGTAATTGTCCCTTACCGTAGAATGAATGCGTAGATGGATGAACAAATAAACTATCTGGAGTATTGTCAGGAACCAGATTGGAGTTCCAAGAAGAAACGTTATGGGACAAATATATATACACTATCCATACACAGAGTATGACCCTGTTTGCCTGGGACAGTACTGGTTACAGCTTTGATATATTCATTGATGGCACCTCCATTCACTCGACGACGTTGGGCAGTAAACATATAGTTACCCTATTCATATGCAGTCTTTTCTGATCCTTTATTAAGAGCTATTTACCTTGTATTTAATTCAAATAATCTTGGCTAGATCTCTTTTTCATTTTGCAATAGATTAGAAAATTTTAAATGGCCAACATGTGTTAGAGAGGCTAGCCCTTCCTCTCAAGAAGCCTCTATAAGGCAACACTATTTTATGTCATAAGCGAAGTTTGTTCTATAAGGCAGGGAACTAAGGGATCCACTAAAACAAGGTGTTTTTTATTTTTTTTCAGAATTGTTGCAATTAAAAAGGATTCATATTATCTGAAAATAACTCCTTCTCATTCTCATATATTCAGATAAAATGAGATATCACTATAACATGTAACATTTATTCCTATGTACTGTGCATACCATATGTTGAGGGTGAATACATAGAAAATAAAGTGCTAACATTTGAGAAGATTGTAACATATAGTAAAAATTTGATTAACCACACTTCAGCTTAATGAATATCATGTTAACTATTTTTTTCTCTCTTACTGCCTTTTTGGGGAAAGAGACATGCCACATGAAAAGAAATTGGTATTACCAATTTAGCTTAGAGAAGAATAAGTAAGTCTCTCTTGATTTCTTGAGATTGTTGTGGACTGAGCTTTCAATCTGTCTAGTTTCCAGCACACTTTCTCCTTTTCATTCTCTTGTGTGAGGCAAGGAGGCTTAATGCTCAAATGAATGATAAACCCAAGAACCTATAGCTTCCCAAACCCCAAGAAATGGTTTCTTTTCCTTCACCAGATTGCTCATTGAGATACAAGAATGGAATTAGTTCTTACTTGAAAGATTTTTTCAGTATCAGTCATTGAACTGGTTAATTCTGAGTTGGGCAGAAAATTCTATTTACTAGGAGACCTTTTTCCTAAATACCAACACTGGCCCCTAGTTCTCTAAGTGTTTTGGCCCAACGTGATTTGCTACTACTGTCTGTGCAGGATATACAGATAGTAGCTGTGTGGCTAGCAGTGTCTAAGTCTTCATACTCAAGTCAAGAGGGACAGGGGAATTAGGGTAGTGTTTAGGTTAAGGTTTATTGATACCAGTTGGTGAAGATTTTAAATGGAAGAAAGACAAAAGACTTCCTTTGGGAATATACTTTCACTTTTGCAAGTAGGAAAAAGTCATATTTTGACCCTTGTTCGTTCTTTTTTTTTTTTCCCATTTATTTATTTTATTGCATTTTACATTTTGGGGTACATGTGAAGAACACGCAAAATTGTTGCATAGGAACACACGTGGCAGTGTGATCCGCTGCCTTCCTCCCCATCACCTACATCTGGCACCTCTCCCCTTGCTATCTCTCCCCAGCTTCCCACCCCCCACCCTCCCTCCCCTATTTCCCCCCAACTGACCCCAGTGTGTAGTGCTCCCCTCCCTGTGTCCATGTGTTCTCATTGTTTAACACCTGCCTATGAGTGAGAACATGCGGTGTTTGATCTTCTGGTCTTCTGTCAGTTTGCTGAGAATGATGGTTTCCAGGTTCATCCATGTCCCTACAAAGGACCCAAACTCATCGTTTTTGATGGCTGCATAATATTCCATAGTGTATATGTGCCACATTTTCCCTATCCAGTCTATTGTCGATGGGCATTTGGGTTGGTTCCAGGTCTTTGCTATTGTAAACAGTGCTGCAATGAACATTCGTGTACACGTGTCCTTATAGTAGAACGATTTGCAATCCTTTGGATATATACCCAGTAATGGGATTGCTGGGTCAAATGGAATTTCTATTTCTAGGTCCTTGAGGAATCGCCACACTGTCTTCCACAATGGTTGCACTAATTTACACTCCCACCAACAGTGCAAAAGTGTTCCTATTTCTCCACATCCTCTCCAGCATCTGTTGTCTCCAGATTTTTTAATGATCGCCATTCTAACCGGCGTGAGATGGTATCTCAGTGTAGTTTTGATTTGCATTTCTCTGATGACCAGTGATGATGAGCATTTTTTCATATGTTTGTTGGCCTCACGTATGTCTTCTTTTGAGAAGTGTCTGTTCATATCCTTTGCCCACTTTTGAATGGGCTTGTTAGTTTTTTTCTTGTAAATCTGCTTTAGTTCTTTGTAAATTACGGATATCAGCCCTTTGTCAGATGGGTAAACTGCAAAAATTTTTTCCCAATCTGTTGGTTGCCAATTCACTCTAATGATTGTTTCTTTTGCTGTGCAGAAGCTGTGGAGTTTGATTAGGTCCCATTTGTCTATTTTGGCTTTTGTTGTCAATGCGTTTGGCGTTTTGGTCATGAAGTCCTTGCCTACACCTACGTCCTGAATGGTTTTGCCTAGACTTTCTTCTAGGGTTTTTATGGTGTTAGGTCTTATGTTTAAGTCTTTAATCCATCTGGAGTTAATTTTAGTGTAAGGTGTCAGGAAGGGGTCCAGTTTCTGCTTTCTGCACATGGCTAGCCAGCTTTCCCAACACCATTTATTGAACAGGGAATCCTTTCCCCATTGCTTGTTTTTGTCTGGTTTGTCAAAGATCAGATGGTTGTAGATATGTTGTGTTGCCTCTGAGACCTCTGTTCTGTTCCATTGGTCTATATCTCTGTTTTGGTACCAGTACCATGCTGTTTTGATTACTGTAGCCTTGTAGTATAGTTTGAAGTCTGGTAGTGTGATGCCCCCCCGCTTTGTTCTTTTTGCTTAGAATTGACTTGGCTATGCGGGCTCTCTTTTGGTTCCATATGAAGTTTAAGGTGGTTTTTTCCAGTTCTGCGAAGAAGGTCATTGGTAGCTTGATGGGGATAGCATTGAATCTGTAAATTACTTTGGGCAGTATGGCCATTTTCACGATATTGATTCTTCCTAACCATGAACATGGGATGTTTCTCCATCTGTTTGTGTCCTCTCTTATTTCGTTGAGCAGTGGCTTGTAGTTCTCCTTGAAGAGGTCCTTTACATTCCTTGTTAGTTGTATTCCTAGGTATTTTATTCTCTTTGTGGCAATTGTGAATGGAAGTTTGTTCTTGATTTGGCTCTCTTTAAGTCTGTTACTGGTGTATAGGAATGCATGTGATTTTTGCACATTGATTTTGTATCCTGAGACTTTGCTGAACTTGCTTATCAGTTTCAGGAGGTTTGGGGCTGAGACGATGGGGTCTTCTAGATATACAATCATGTCGTCTGCAAATAGAGACAATTTGACTTCCTCCTTTCCTATTTGAATGCCCTTTATTTCTTTTTCTTGCCTGATTGCTCTGGCTA